ATATCATTCAACTCTTCAGGCGTTCTTGGAATCTGGAAAAGATAGTAAACTTATATTTTTTATTTTAGGCTAATCTTCATGAAAGCCGTGTTTCTCCAAAAAAGATACCTCAAGAAATCCGCGTTTCTCCAAAAAAGAAAAAGAATAAAACTGTCGATAGTTTAGAAGCTCAGAAAGAAGCTTACGGCATAATGAAAGAGCTGCATACTGAGTGCAAACCACGAGATGATTTTACTGTTTTTGGGGAGCATATTGCTTGTAGATTGCGCAATTTACGGGATCCATATACTGTTGCTACAGTACAAAACCAAATTCACAACATTATATTCCAAGCTGAAATTGGTTTATACAGCGGCGGCGCTAGTACAAGCTACAATTCTTTTCAAAGTAGTAGTTCTGGTCCAGCACATTCACCACACACAGACATTTCACAGTTTTCGGAAGATTTGGATGACAAATTAATAAATATGTAACAATCACAGCGTAATACCTCAAAGCAACTGTAGATTTTTGTTTAAGTTTATGACAAACATTTTTAATAAAGAAATACTTACCATAATTTCGTATTTTAATGAGTCTATTATTGTTGGGCACACTTCTGGTACGATAGAAGAAATACTCTGTTTTGACACTTTAGATAGATACTCGAGGCTTTGATATGAATCCCCACTGGCCAAAAATCGTAATGTTATGACTAAAAGTTCTGTAGCCGATATGCAATTTCTGAATGCAGTATCTTGTTAATTAATGGAATCAGGCGTTACTTTGCGGAAATCCATTATAATGAGGTTGTTATAAACTAATTTGCTTAATTCCGCGTAAAGAAAGAAAATGATGTGTCTTGCCCAATTTTAAGGGGCCTCCGACCCTCGCTCAATCGCGCACACTATACCCGTCGCCGTGAATCCCAGCACTACCACACTAGGCACGACCCACACTCTAAAAATACGACACGTGTTTCGCCTCTACACAAGGCATCCTCAGGTGAAGTAGACTCTGCGGAGGCTGTCCGCTAAGTGAGCGGCGAGCCGAAACTACTGCTATTTATACTACTTGCTGACGCAACCGCTCTCCAATTACGTAGCGAGCGATTACGTCATGGGATCAATCACCACCTGACGTACGTCGATATTTGATGTGAAATTAACAACAAACTACTGTGAAACGTCCGCCTACCCTACAACCACGCAACCAAACGCTGACCACCGCACCGTGAGGTTGACAAACGACCATGTTGCGAAGCTATATATCATCTAGGAGCAGTCTTAAACATGTTTAAGAGAGGCGAGTTGGAAACATTTGTTTGTTCATACAGCAGTGCAACGTTACCGTTATTATTTTTTAATATCTCTAATTGTTCCAGCACACACAGTCGTAGCCCTTTATTACAAGTATGTAAGACTTTAAAGGAGTGGTCATTGGCTAGGCTGTGTCCAGTGTCTAAGAGATGTTTAGCAAAATGTGATTTATCGGGATTACAATTCATGTACGCGGCTAAATGCTCTTTATAACGTGTTTCGAAGTTGCGACCAGTCTGATCCACGTAAACGGCTTGGCATTCGTCACAAACAAGTTTATAAACACCAGACTTTAGACGAATATATAACTTATCTTTATAATTACAGATATTCCTAAGTGAATTGTTTGTTTTGAATGCCACGTAAACGCCACTCTGTCGAAGAGTTTTAGCAATTTTTTCAGATATGGAACCTAAGTAGGTCAAACTGTCAACATATCGACGATCACTTTGAGGTTTAATCGCGTACAGAGTACGACAAGTTTTTGTTTCTTTTTTATTACATTGTCAATGATATTCTTTGAATAACCGTTAGAGACCGCAATTTGATAAATCACATTAAGCTCTTTTAAATAATTTTCTTAACTTAATGGAACAGTAAACAAACGATTAAAGCGGCTAATTTATGTTGCCACGGATGACATGATGACGCAGGAATGACCGTGTGATGAATGAATTTGAAATTCATGTAACGACTCTTTTCTTGTTATTATTAAGTCGAAGAAATTAACGACACAATCTTGTTCCAGTTCAAGCTTAAATTTAATTTTGTCGTGGATTTTATTAATTATATTAAGGAAAAGAGATTCGCAATATGGCAGGTTTGAAAGATGACCTTATCACAAAAATTGATAAGGGCGTGCTTCGGTGGTTTGGGCACGTTGAGCGAATGAGTGAAGACCGAATGGTGAAGAAAATATATAGCGCGAAAGTTAATATTAAAAGGTGTCGAGGTAGACTGAGACTAACTTTCGAAGACCATGTGAGCAAATTGCTCGAAGAGGGTAGGGTCAAGAGTACTCGAATACCTAGGCGTGCATGTATGAAGAAGATAATGAATCTGAAAGAAGCGAAAGAGGTATGTAAGGATCGTGACACTTGGCGATCTGTCCTCTCTGGCTACCCCGTCAGGGATTGTGCGTGAAGATAAGTAAGTAGTAAGTATATTAAGGAAAACATCCAGTTGTCTCTTTGTGCCAGTCCAGCAAATAATTATGTCGTCTACATATCGATAATAGTATAAGATATTTTGATTGACAACTATGTGTTGTTTTTCAAAATTATCCATATAAATATCCCGCCATAAGAGGACTTAGAGGAGACCCATGGCTAGCCCTTCTTTTTGAAGATAGAAGTGGTTATTAAACCGGAAATAGTTTTGTTTCATACAGAGAGAGGTTAAGTTTAGAAGATCATTTGTTTCCCCGGGGTGTAGACGACATTTATTAAAGAGATCTGCGAGTATACGCAAACAGTCTGGAGATGTGACATTTTTGAATAGACTATCAACGTCTAAAGATAACAACATGGATTTAGGTGGAATACGGATATTTTAATCGGGATTCAATCCAACTTACAGCCTTAAAAATAGTTTAGATCTCATTTCCAAGATTAAAGATATCCGTATTCCAGCTAAAAAGTTAAACTTCCTTCTGCGTGAGAAATCGGGATTCGAGGACACATCGTTTTCTTTCTTTACGCGGAATTAAGCAAATTAGTTTATAACAACCCCACTGCAGTATGTTTTCTTATTTTCGGCTCCACGTTATTAATTAAAAATTCTATGTCTGTGCTGGACATCCGAAGAAAGTTTTTAATATTCCCATTATCACGTAATATTCCATAGACTGTATTCTCACAAATAAGGTTATTCACCATCGTTTCGCCACAGCAATTTTTCTCTAGTCAATAAACTAGGTCGAATCTAGTATCTACATTTTTTTATTTTATTTAAAAGTACAAGAGTTGCTGCTGCAACTAGCAAAACGTCCTCTCGTGTCGACATTGTGAATAGCACGGCAGAACGACAAACGACAATGTCATATAACATTGTTATATTGCATTTTTATTCTAATCTGTACAGTATTGTTATATGTTGCAATGTTGAGAACCCATGTAACATAATGTGGACGTGTTATATAACAAAAGTTACACAACATGTTACTTAATCTGTACGCATCCTAAGAGCGTTAAACATCCATAAAATGTACATGGATTCAAAGCTATTATTTAAAAATGTCCTCTAGACTGAATTTCGTTCACGGCGTCTTGTCGGCTACTTTTAACGGAGACGTCAGGATAATACACAAAAGTGTGCGCAAACGCAAGCACATCCGTACTCCCTATTCCCTCACTCTCGCGGTCCAATGGGATGGCAATCCGACGCAACTGAAAAGAGATCGGGAGCAACGGCTTTATGTGTTTTCCGAGGCACGGGGGTGAAATATCGGCAACTACCTGACTCCGGGCTGCTATCGAGAATTTATTGACAGAAAAATCCAATAGCTGATTTTGGGACGACCTGGGATTCGAAGAACCTCCCATTCAAAATACTTATTCCGGACAGGAATCGAATCCAGGATTCTCAGTGTCTCATGAGTTTAAATGGGTTTTTTTTAATCTCATTTCTTTGAATAGTATTAGCAAAACAGTTAATTGAAAAATCGAGATTACGAGTATGTCCTTATCGTATCGACAGACATAACGATATTGTCGTTGAATCAGAGAAAGTTATGTTTAAGCGCATATATGTATTTGAAAAAATTTTGGCGTTCTTACCGAAAACTCTTTAAGAGAACTTATTATAATTTCACTATAACGAAGTAACGCATATTGTTAACCCAAAAAAAATGGTAATAAAAATATATATATTTGATTATTAATTTGAACTGGCTAATAGTCGGGGATCCACGGTATGTACCCTAATGTGAATAGTTGTGATTAAAGGGATGCGCGCGTACTGTACTGTTCGTATGTTGGGTGCTGGCAGAATAACAGCGTTGTAGGCAACTGCAACATTTATGCTGAGCTAGAGCCCATTCATTACTACATTATGTAATTCTTGTCATTTCTGTATGTACTTTATTGGTGGTAATGAATAAATGCTTATTATTATTATTATTATAAAAAATAACTTGATAGTCAAGTGTCCTATTTTACAATTGTAAACATATCAGCACATAATTAATTGGATGTTTTTATATGATTGGAATATTAAACAGGGTTATTTTGCAATAACCGGCCAAATTTGCAGAGAAGGTTCAGAATAAGTATATAGGCAAATGGCGAAGAAAAATTCATTAAAAAATCTTAAACATTCTGTCCTTTTTATCTTTTAAATTGAAAATGCGTGGTAATGCATTATTTTAACCGATTGTCTTTCATAGATATCTAACGTCTACTATTTACTACGTACGCATACATTCGTAAGGGTAGATCGGTCGGCCAAAACGTTGTGAATTTAATCGCACACAAGAGGAACACGCGTACGCGTAGTTGTTGCCCATAAATCACATTGAATTTGGGATAATTACAAAGAAAAGTAGAAGCATTATTTACTCGTATTTTCAAAATCTGCAATAACGGTTTATCATTATTTATATATTTGAACTTAAGTTTAAAATTTGACTACTGTCTGAAAAATAACCCTGTATATTAAAAAAAAACATAAAAATATGGTGAAATTTAAATAAAAATCACTTACCTCCTCGATGGATGATGACAAAAATCCCGAACTGAAACAAACAGATAAATATAAATACAATAATCAGTATAAACAGTTTACATTCATTACAGCCTTTATGAAGTGTCCACTGCTGAACAGTGTTTAGAGGGAGCATTTTTTATTATAGAGTTATTATCAGCTAGATGCTGCTACCCAGCTGCTGTTCCATCACCCCCCCCCCCCCTCCCCCCCTATCTCTCTCTCATTATGATAGTCACATAGTGAATTCTCTTAGGCCTCCACTACACAGAAGCAATAATAAGTACTTAACATAAAATTTAGTAGATATTATTATTAAAGATTATAACATATGAAGGTAAACAAACAACAAAAGGTTTCCAATGGTCACTGTTACCTATGAGATTAAGACATTGAATACCTCAGTCAGAAGTAAGAATAATTTATTAATCATTAAAACACGATAAAAACTTCAACAACATGGTAATATAACATCGCCTCTTAGATTCCATGAAGACCATTAATTTGTTGCATGCCTTTTTTACCACAGAATTTAATACACGTAAATAAGTCCAAAATCTACAGCTTAAGAAAAATTATACGTACTCGTATGAAACTCTTATAAATTGTCTTTGCCTGAAGTGTGAATGTTTTAAACTACAATTATAATAAAAAAATAAAATTCAACGGTGACGTTGAAAGTTCTGACGGGATTAAAGGAAAAAATCTCGCGCAATATTTGTTGACTTTGTTCCAATTTCATTCAATTTTTTTACTACCGAATGCAAAGAAGTATGGGTGTTTAAAATTTATTTAAGAAATATGAATCCTTGACCCACGTGTATTAATATATCTACTTTTTCTATATTTATATCTAAAAATGAGAATTTCTCCCTACGAGTCTGCCTGGGTAGGTGCTACCACCTTCTTATTAATTTCTGCCCGCCAAACAGTCCTGCACTGACTTTTTGTGGTCGAAAGGATAGATATAGAAAATCATTATAATTGCAACTGTGAGGCAGTGGTGGAAACGCAGCTGTAGCTTTCTGTGTTTAATGTTGGAGACAGGTGTTCCATGGCTTGCAGTACCCACTTACTATCAGCTGGACTGTAATATCGTTTGCCACATCAATTTTATAAAAAAAAAAGTTTATTTCAACCACTACAACTTCTATTTAGTGTTGGGAGCTGTCAACTGAGCGTTTTATATTATAATGCGGTGACAGAAGCATAGATACAATCAAAACAACAATTCGCCAAAATCAAACATTTGTCGTTTTGCACAAATGTTGGTTCCGGCTTGATGGGTAGATTAGTACCTGGCAGGTACTACCTGCCATTTCCACGTGACATGAAAATATACTGTAGTTAGCTTACTAGTAACAAATTACGTACCTCCAACTTCGTCCAGAAATAACTTGATTTGAGAACATAAATACAAATAGATAAACAGCGCCATCTATTTGAAACCCTAATTGGTGGTCAACGAAAATATAATAGATGTCCATGTAAGTCCGTATTCGGACTAAAAACACAACTTTACAAAAAGGGTTGTTATAATACAAATAAATACATGGATGATAATAACCCCTGGGATATAGGTGATCGTTACCAAACTGTTTCATAAATGAGTTTTATAAGTAATTTTACAATCTACTTTTATTGTTACTCTAGAATAGAATACTTTTATTTTTACCACTAGTTCGGAAATAATGTCTGTCCTGGGAAGAACCAGCAAGAAAACGGGTGGAACTTATTTTACAATCATTGATTAAGAACGGTTGTCGTTATTAATATCATTTTAGTTCTATTCTTGCCCAGAGGTATGAAGGTAGCTCTTTTCAGCGACCATTGCATCGCTACGATTCCTTACACTCTGCCTTGAGAAGTGTAGCCAAGGGAATCCAGGTAAATAAAGGTAAATATTGTGTCATAAATTGTTCATAATTTACAGTAAAACAATGTTTAAGGTAGGTAAAACTTACCAACACAGTAGACTCTGTTTATTTTCTTTCTTCTTAGACATTTTTGATGTAACAGAATTTTATCATCAAAACATTTAAGTAAAGTAAATTTTTGACTTTATTACGCTTAATTTTTTGATTCCCGATTCCCGAAAAACGGCGTCTGATTCCTATAAGATCATTATAAGCAGGACCGAAAATAGCCAATGTGGGTTTTATACAGTGTTCTCTGCGACTAGGTTTCGAATCAGAACTCGCGAGACATTATACGAATTCTATACAATAGCAAATGACCTTTTTATTACGTATAATTAAAGGCATCCCATCTTAGTCCTCAAGGGTGACACCACATCAGCATTTTGATTCTTAATCGAGGATAAATGTAAATGTCTATGGATCACAGTATACACTTACCATCAGGTGGACTGTGTGTTCGTTTGACACTCGTATTCTTTAAAAAAAAAGAACTGGCTGACTATAAGAAAAAAAGAAAAGAAAAAAATTGACAAAACCGCCAGTACTTCGTTTCGTTATTTTTTTTTAACTTTCTTTTTATAAAATAAGGGTAACAAACGAGCACATAGTCCACTCGATGGTAAGTGGTTGCTGTTGCCTATAGACATCTACATCTATCTTCGTTTGCGAATTAAAATGCAGATGCGTTGTCAGCCGTTAGGACTAAGATAGAATGCCTCTTTTCCAGTAAAATAGGTCTCCGTTTCTCTACAGTCACCATACGAAACACAGCAGCATTAAGCTGCCATTTCACACTGGTATTCTGTGAGAGCGTGGTTCTTCCCCGATCCAGCCGACCCATTGGTGCTACAACTTTACTATTAATATAGCAGCAGCATGACTACCACGTAATTTTTTTTAATAAAACGTAAATTTTATAGGTAAGGAAGTATTATGTTATGTACGGACAAAAACCTATATAAAATTCTTCGTTGTATGTTGTATCTGTATATCACACAAATAAGAATACATTTACTCATTATAATGAGTATAACATGTACCCGTGTGTGTGTTAGTAACGTCCGTGTGTGTATGTGAAAACATCTGTTCATCCAATTGTGACAAACGCAGGATGTTTGTCATAATTTCATAATGCATCGACTTTTATACAGGCTGTTCTGTTTTCAAATGTTCTGTTACTTATTTTAGACTGAATTTTACTGGAGCCATCTTGTAATCACGTTTTAAGGCCACTTTTATACGGTTGGTGATACGTCATAAGGTTTTAGGCTACAATTATCACGTGTATATTTAACTTATTGAAAAGATCAGATATTTTTAGAATTTGATTTAATATATATAAATATTACAAAATTAGATTCCGGAAAGACTAATATTTGTAATTAATAAAATTGAGAATTCAGTTGCTAATGGTATAATATTTTACACGTCACACATTAAAGTAATTTTTTTTCGTTTAACCATCCCATCCCCCTCATCGCGATTAATCGCCATTTTTCCGAGCACCTCCATCCTATTCGAACGTCAGCCGTCCTTTAGGCTTCTTATATCACTGCGGCCCATTAAATGTTACTGCTGAGCACAATCCTTCCCCATAAATTGCCTCATAAGGGTAGGCGTATTTTGTAAGAGAATCCATTACACACTATATCACTCCGTGGATTTCGTAAAAGGCGACAGAGAGAAACTAAAACAGGAGATGGGCAGCAGCAACTTCCTGATAAAAAGTCAACACATTAAATACTGCAGTTCCAAAATCGCCTGCTAAGTATAATAACTTTGGATCTATGATCTCATGATCTTCTATAATTTAATTTATGCTGTGACTGTTTATTGCTCAGTGGTGGTGGTATAATAGAATCCAACGCCTCATTTTATCTCATTGGCGTTTTAAGAGACGACTATGGGAAAAGTCTGAAAAGTCATAGCTTTCACTAGATGGATATAACACCATATACTCGTATCTAAAAGCGTTAGTGCGTAATATTTGACCCCTCTCCAATTCCGCTGGTAGTACACGCGTGACAATTGAAATCATTGTTACACAAACGTGTTTTATTCAAAAAATACTCGTTTTGTGTCCACACTCTTTGTATTTTGTTGGCATAAATATGAACAATATCGCGAAATTGATTGTCACAGCTAAAGCGCAAAGTGAATGAAACTGTTCAGAGTGAAGGGAAATTACAACTAAGTCGATTGTTATAAAACGCAAAGGAACCGACTGCAAAATGGTATTCCTATATCCGGGTTACATCAGATATTACATCCCATGACTGGGCACTGGTTGCATATCATGTGTTGAGAGGGTTATGTAGCAGAAACGTCTGGAACGCTGCACCAGTGCGTATATAGCGACAATAAAGCTCTTTCTTTCATTCTTTTTTGAAAAAAAAAATATTGGATTTTTCCCCACATTAGGATTTTCTCTTAAATCTTGAAGGTAGTTAACAAACATAAATTTTACAAGGACAAACTTTCAGACCCAGAAAAATTATTTGTAGATCATACAATTATTTTTGCTCGTGCGGGATTCGAACCCGCGGCGCTGCAATTCATTGCTAAGCCACTGCGCCACAGAGCCTTCAACATATTAAGGACATTATAAAAAATAAAATATTTTTTAAAATAGAACACTCTATAGAGATTGCTACATAAGGCCGGCCCCAAATGAACGCGCCATAATAGATTCATATTCGTTGATGGCTTTCGTTGTGGACCGTCCTCGGTCAATAGAACGATGTCATTATCGGAATTAGCGATTTACTTTCTTAAAATCGTGCGAATATGACGCAAATTTGCTTGCAATTTACAACATTTGTTTACGTTAGTGTTTCGGTGACATTGTTTGGCCTGATTAGGTTTGAACAGTAATATGGGGATAGGAGTGATCGAAGGTTGAAAATGGTTAAGAATTCTTCACAACCTTATCTCATCAACCTTATCACACCTGGTGATAAGGTTGATGAGATGATGGTGATATGTTTTAGAGAGGCTTTAGGAAAGCAGTTGAAAGAGAAACAGATCCAATGCCTCAGTATATTTTAAATAATAGCATAAACGTAATTTTTTTTATAGCTATGAAGGTGACATGCGACACAATCCCAGGTGG